CCCACCCCATCAGAGTTTCAAGGGAATTGTGAATGAATAGTGTGTGTGTGTTGGGGGTGGGGGGGTGGCAAGGGGTGACAGGGGGGTAAGGAGTTCCTTTTCCGAAGGAGACAAGGCTCAAAGAGTGACTTCCAGATAGATCTTCCTCAAAACCCCTCACACTCCCGTGTGACAGAACAAAAACAAGGGGGAGCTCTTGGTATCCCTCCACCTCACCCTTTATTTTCCCCAGTGCCCTCACATCCCTCTCTCCCTTTAACTCCTGCCTGCCAGCAAGAGAGTGGAAAGCTCATCTTGCCCGAGGAGAAGCAGGGACACAGTGGCACGCAGAAGCAGGAGGTTGGCTGATCTCAATGAATCTGAAGACAGGAAACATTGGTTGTTGTTTTAATTTTTTTAGATATTCAGGTTGGCCTCAAGTTTGTAACCATCCTTGTGCCTCAGCTTCCAGAGTGCTGGGATTCTAGGTATCAGTCACCACACCTGACCAAAATTGTCTCTTAAACATCTGTAGCGAAGACTCCTAAATGGCAAAGCCTGCCTGGTTCCAGAAATTGGACGAACCAACATTCCCGACTTTTCTCCAGCCTAGCTTTCTTCTCAGAGGCTTTTGTTGAAGCCTGTGAAGGGTCCTTTGGAATTAGCCACTGCTCTGAGCTCATTCCTGAAGGAGAATTCTTTAGCCACTTCAGACACAATGGCTTGGGGACTTGGAGGGGAGGGTGAGGCCAGCACTCCACCCTTCGGGGTTTGTGTGCTGGCCACCACTGAGAGAGAGAGAGAGAGAGAAGGAAGGGGAGGAAGGGTTGGGAGGTGCTGCCCTGGGATCAAAGCAAGAACAGAGAGGTTGGCCTCCAGGCCCAAAGGGAATGAATGGCTGGGGCCATCTCTGTGATTTCCCAAGAAGGGTCTCTACTTGGCCCCAGGCAGTCCAGGGTTCCTGGGCTCTGCAGAAACAAGTAGCTTATCAATCAGCCACCTGTTCCCTGAGGTCCTTATGCTGAGGGGGTCTTTGGGGGATGCCCAAGCACATTTTCTGTGTAGATGCTAGATTCTCTTGCTCTGTGTGTAGATCCTTGCTTCCCTGTGGCTGCACAGTCTCCTCCAGTGGCTGGTTGGGAACTTGCATTTTCAATTCCGTGCCATTCTTGAGAGGTAGCCGAGTGTGAGGAAGAATTCTGCTGGAGGATCCTGCTGTTCTTTCTGGAGATCCATGAATGGAACGGTGTGATCACACAGTGGGCAGTAAACCCAACAGGATTTTTCACTTGAGGCGATCTGACCTTCAGAGCAAGGCTGACTTTTTTCTTGTTTGTTGGAGCCTCCTCCCCTCTGTCTGTAGGTGTGAACATGCCACGGTGCAACTTGAGGGAATTGGTTGTGTATGGAACTGGGTCCTTAGGACTTTGTCACTTGTTAGCTCCTGCTATTGTTTTAGAAAAGGGATTGAAATAGCCTCGACTGACCTGGGATTCACTGTGTAGACCAGGTTGCCCCCAATCAGATTTACTTCTATATTCTCAGTGCTGGTATTACAGACCCTCTGAAAACTCAGTGTTTGTATTTTAAACTCCCCCACTGCTTGAGTCAAGGTTTCATTGTGGCTCCTCCTGGCCTGGAATTCACCATATAGAGCAGGCTGACCTTGAACTCACTGCTTCCCAAGTGCTGAGAATAAGGCATGTTTCACCATGGCCGCTTTATTCTTGAGTTTATGGCCTTTCTTCCTTCTCTCCTTCCTTTCATTTTGAGACCAAGTCTTTATCATTTGTCCTGGAGCATTCCAAACCGCAGAATGCAAATGCTTCTCCACTTTCACTGTTTCAAGTGGCTGGGAGGACAGGTGTGACCCACTGCACCCTGTTTGTATGTTTATTTTAGATTTTTCGGATTCTTTGTGTTCTAAATGACACTCAGCTTGTGGTAAACATTCATGACCATTCGGATAAATTCCATCAGATAGAGCAGGGGTAGCAAACTATGATCTATCGTTCAAAATAGCCCGTAGTTTTGTTTTTTCCTTCTTAATAGTCTCTCTCTCTCTCTCTCTCTCTCTCTCTCTCTCTCTCTCTCCTTCCCTCCCCCCGTCCACACCCCCTTTTGAGACAGGGTTACTCTGTGTGTCAGTCTTGGAACTCTGTAGACCCGGCTGGCCTCAGACTTACTGAGATCCACCTGGTTCCCGAGGGCTTGGATTAAAGAGTTTCATAAGAGCTGGGTGGTGGTCACTCACATCTTTAATCCCAGCATTTAGGAGGCAGAGGCACGTGGATCTCAGTGAGTTCAAGGCCAGTCTGGTCTACAGAATGAGTTCCAGGACAGACTCCAAAGCTACAGAGAGAAATCCTGTCTTAAAAAACAAAACAAACAAACAAAAGGGAAACGTTTCATGGGGACATATTAATGCTCATTTGTTTTTGTATTATTTGTGGCTACTTTTATGTTACAAAATCACGGCTTCCAGAGTCCCAACTTCTTACTGCCATTACAGAAAGTGCTTGACAACCACCAAGTTAGAGTGTCTGAATTATTTGGTTAATAATGAAGATTTGAATGGAATGACGATAGACAGACAGTGTTTCCATTAAAGTATCCAGAAAACATTTTTGAAATCTTGTTGGTTATTTATTTTATGCATGACATCTGCCAAGGACCAATTTTTAAGTCTATAGGTGCAGAGGAGATGGCTCGGTGTGTAAGAGTGCTTGATGTGCAAACACAAAGACCTGAGTTAGAATCTTAAACACCTGTGTAAAACCCGGGGCATAGCCATGTATGGCCGCGCATGTCAGAGATAGGTAGATCCTGGGAGTTTCCTAGTCAGCCAGTCCACCAGAACACTGAGCTTCAGATGCAGTGAGAGACTGTCTCAAGACAATAAGGCAGAGAGAGAGCTGTGGAGGAAGACACTGTCCTCCTCTGGCCTCTGCCTGTAAACTCATGCTGGCACATAGTCAACACCAAGAAAAAAGGCTGTAACCTTGTTTTTTATTTTAGTTTCCTGCATCTTCTGTTTTAAACATTTCATGTTATGTTTTTCTTTTTTAACATGATGCATCTCTAATTGTTTTTTGTTTGTTTTGTTTTGTTTTTTCACTGTGGGTTTTATTTACTATGCAGGTTTGACTGGCTTGGAGCTCATGTAAACCAGGCTGCTCCCAAACACATAAGACCCACCTGCCTTGAAATGCTCGATCCCAGGGCTATCATCACACACAGTGGTTTATAGTGTTGCATTGCACATTCTCTTTCCTCTATAGCCCATTTGCTTTGTTGAGAGTTAGAGTGGGATGGCTCCACTCTCGGGTACCGCATGAAGGTGAAAATGGGCCTGAGCCTTCTTGTCAAATTTGTCCTCGTCGGTTACACGGTGATGGTGTGTTTTCCTTCCATCACTACCTAGAAACTCAGCTCGGTTCTGTTAGTAAGGCGTTATTCACTGGATGCTGCTACGATGTGTCATGTTTATGTGATGGGAACCTGGATGGCTCCCTGGTCCTGGGGATCTCAGGGAGGTACTTCCCATCTTTCCTAATCCCTTTTCAAGTGCAGAGACGTTCCTGTGGGACTCCTCCCTTGGAAGAACTCAGCCTGGATAAAAGTAAGAGAGTCAGAAACATCTGCACAGATTCATCTAAAATTTCTTAATCCCGTAGCTGGGTGTGTTGGCTCACGAATGAGAGCTCATGACATGAGAGATGGTGGCCGCCGGAGGGTTGGGAGTTTGAGGCCAGCCCCAGCTACACGAGAATGAGACCCTGTCTCAAACAAATACCTCACCCCCATTACTCACACTTGAGTAAGTATTCAGCAGTTAGTCTTATTCCAAAATACTTGCTCAGGACCACTGAGCAGAACATATATATAGAGAGATGCCACCAGCCAGAAGGTCTGCTCTGTGTCCTCATGGAACTTGTCATCCAACAGGCTTGTCAGCACTGGTGTGTCCATCTATAGTCGCTACAAGGTACATGGAAATCAATACTTTACTGTCAAGCCTAGGGTGAGAACTACACATTTGGAGTGAGGTAGGATTAACAATAATGTGATAAAATTCCCAGTACTTCCAGGTGGTGGTGGCTCACACCTTTAATCCCAGCACTCGGGAGGCAGAGGTAGGTGATCTTTGTGAGTTCAAGGCCAGCCTGATCTCCAGAGTGAATTCCAGGACAGTGAAGGCTGCACAGAGAAACCCTGTCTTGAAAAACAAGACAAAACAAAACCCAACCCCCCAAAAATCCCAGTAAAGTTTAAATTGGGAGAAGAAATACAACTGAATTGTAAGCAGGAGGGGAAGGGGTTTTCTGACTAACAGAATGACTTCATGTACTAAGTATGATTCTGTATGAGAAGGCCCGGAACAACCCCAAATTCCGATTCACATAGAAAACACTTTTGGAATGTCGGGTGTGGTGATGGACACCGGGAATCCTGGCACTCAAGAGGCAGGAGGATCGCGAGTTTGGGGTTAGTTTAGGTTGCTTACATGTCCAAACCCCGTCTTTAAAGAAGGAAAGAAAGGCCTGGCAGTGCTCGCCTTTAATCCCAGTACTCAAGAGCAGAGGCAGACAGATCTCTGAGTTCAAGGCCAGCCTGGTCTGCAGATCAGGTTCCAGGACAGTCAGGCAACACAGAGAACCCTGTCTTGAAAAGCCAAAAAGATTAAAGAAAGAAAGAAGAAAGGAAGGGAGGGAGGGAGGGAGGGAGGGGCTGGGCAGATGGCCTGGCTTTTACGAGCACTTGTTCTTTGAGAAGACCTGCGCTCAGTTCCCAGAGCCCTCTTTGGGTGCTTTACAACTGATTGTGACTCCAGTTCCAGGGGATCTGACTGGTATGCTCTTTGGGCCTCTGTGAATACCTGTACTCCTGTGTCACACATAGACATACACACATTTAAAACTTAAAAAAAAATGAAAGTAGACACTTTTGGATAATTTGCATATGTCAAAACCCATAAAAGACATGTCAAAAAAAAAAAAAACCCATACATTGCCTTGGACAAATAATTTAATTTCTTTCTGGCTCAGTTTTTTCAGCTGTCAAAGGGAGTAATAAAATATTAATTATGGTAGCTCACATCTGTGAGCTACATAGTGTGTTCAAAGTCAGCCTGGGCTACAGGGAGACCCTGTTTAAATACAAACAAGCATTAAAGTGGGGCTATGAGGATTAAGTGACACCATGCACGGCACAATAAAATTTTTACTAAAATATAGGCTCTTATTCCTAGATAGCTTCATTGCATGCCCTACATTTCCAACCAAACTAGACGGTTGCCTCTGCTCCCAGTCCTGTGACAGTGGCAACACCAAGTTGCTCATAGTTTAGGAATCTGCCCTCTGCCCATTCCTCCTGGTCTCTTTCCTACCTTCACAGTAGGCTCACTTCCTCTGATCATCTCTCATGCCTCTTCTCCCAGGTCTGTCCTGTACCTCCCTCCTCTTCATCCTGGTTAGGTAGGTGAGGCCACGGTTTCCCATGAGCATGCTCTCCACGATCCCTAAGTGGACGGTCTGTCTGTCAGTCGTCTGATCCACTCACTCTGTTGCTTCTCCCAGGGCAGCAGCCACACTCTGGGTGCTGTGGGGTTTGTCCACTTAGTGCTTGTTGATGAGGGAGATTGACTACCTGAAGGGTTGCTTGTTCTGGAGATCTATTGGCAGTTAGAGCTTGATTCTGTGATGGCGTGGAGCGGTGGTTCTCACCCTTGGGACGCAACCCCTCCCACAGGGGTCGGATATCTGGTGTCATGCTTATCCGATGTTAACATTATGATTCCTAACAGTGACAAAGTTACAGTTATGAAATATCAACGAAAGAATTTTATGGGTGCGAGTCATCCTGACTTGAGGAACTGTATTAAAGGGTTGCAGAGTGAGGGAGGTTGAGAACCACTGGTAGAGTCTGTGGAGAGAAGCTGGGGTACGGGGAGGCGCTGGAGACCATGCTGGTGACACAGAGAGGAAGAGAAGCAAGGATGAAACCATTTGCTAGGAAACTGCTCTACCCATCCTCGGCCCTCTCCGAAGACATTTATGTATTCTAAAATAGATCCATTTCATTATTTTTAATTATGTGTTTGTGTAGATATGGGCATTTTCACACATTTGTGTCATACTTTTTTTTTTTTTTCCTTGTTTAGACAGGGTCTCCCTATGTAGCCCAGGCTGGCTTTGAACTCAGAGATCTGACTGCCTCTCTGCCTCCTGCTGGTCTTCAAAGCAGTCACCATCATGTCTGGTCCTATACTTTGTCCTTATTCATTTCTCTTCTGCACTGCTTTCCACACACATAATTTAATTAAAAAATATTTCTTCTACACAGGATCTCACTAAGTTTCCCAGGCTGACCTTGAATTTGCTATCGTCTTGCAAGTAGCTGGGATTACAGGCATGGGCCTCCAAGCCTAGCTGAAGTATAGAATTATAAGTGTCTATCCTTTGTGACAACAGACACTTAAGTTCAACATTTAAAAAAAGTACAAGCAAGCCACTTGGTAGTGGCGGCATGCCTTTAATCCCAGCACTGGGGAGGCAAAGGCAGGTGAATTCTCTGTGAGTTGTGAGTTGGAGGCCAGCCTGGTTTATAGGACATCTGTAGCTACACAGAGAAACCTTGTCTTGAAACTCCACCCCTCCCCCCCCAAAAAAATGTACGTGCATGTCTGATGTGCCAGAGGATGACCTCGGGTGTCGATTCTACCTTCTACTTTGAGGCAGTAGTCTCTTGCTCACCCTTGAGTACTACGTCAGACTAGCTGGCCCGAGTCAGCAGAGAGTCTCCTGCCTCCCATCTCCCTGTAGGCTGCCCTGTTGGGCTTTAAACTGGGTTCTGGGGATTCAAACTTGGGTCTTCATAATTATGTGGCAAGTACCTTATCCACTGGGCCATAGCTTCATCCTTAACTTCATCTCCCAAGAATTAACCTAGAGGTAGATTATTAGAATAGCAGATGAGATGATATGTAATATATAAGTGCAATATATAAATAATATGTAATATATAAATAGGAGAATGTGAGATAAAGCATAACATTTGAGCATAGTGCCGATCCAGCATGTGGCAGTGGATGTCGGTGAATGCCTCGTGATACTGACTGAATATAGCAATTCAAGAATAGAGAGAACATGAAAATGCTACAGAGTCTTAAGTTTGCAGGGCTGAGATCTAGATGTCACCCCCAGGGTAGTGCCACAGAGGAAGGCACTGTGGTCCCTTTTGATGACAGAATGAGGTGAATCTCAAAAGAAGGAAGACAGATAAGCTTAGAGCTGTCTTAGCTCCTCAGCATGTCCATCTATGAGGTCTGCTAGGAAGGGCCCCGTGGAGCCAGCATCCAGATCTAAGCCTGTGTGAGCCCCTAACACTATAGCACTGACGAGGAGTCTGGGAGTGGAGCATGGAACCAGGGGCTCATCAAAAGCTGGCAATTATCCTTGCATGCCAGCCAGTGCCACATGCCAAGGCCATGCCTAGGGTCAACACTATTCATACAGCTTTGTCTTTGTCCCTCAGACTCCCAGGCCATCTCTCCCCTAACCTCACTCACCCCAGGCCGGGTTTGGGAGTTTTTGAAGTTTGCGATACATATTTTAATGATAGGAGGTCAGGTGAAGAAGAAGGTAGGGCTGGGAGAAAGCCCTGGAAGCTGTCTTCATGGACTGCCCAGCGGGTGAGCAGTGATGCTGCCTACGGGATCAGTTCCCCTGGTTCAACAGTACATCCCTTGTTTCACAGAGGAGAAAACAGGTTCAGAGGGTTAGTGACTAGGTTCATACACAGTGTACCTGAAACCCAATTATACTAGTGACCTTTCTGATTGCTATGACCAAAGACCTGTCAAGAGGGGGAAGGATTTATTTTGGCAGTTTGAGGGGCTACAGCCTGTCATGGTGGACATGTGTGGTGACAGGAGTTGACGAGTGGCTGGTCACATTGCTTTCACCATCAGGGAGCAGAGAGTGGCCAGGAAGCTGGGTCAGGCTAAGAACTCTGAAAGCTTTTCCAGGTAGGCCCACCAAAGGCTGGCCCACATCTGGGGACCAAGTGTGCGGACACATTTCATATTCAAACCATTCCAGATGTGAAGGGGAACAGGACTTGGAACTGAGCTGAGCAAGAACCTCCCTTCTCATCTCCCTCTCTCCTCTCTCCAGGCCCCCACCCCACCCTGCAATTGTGTGTTTCTTCCTTACTTTCCTGTCCAGACTCATTCCAAAAGGATTTAGGCAGCATCGAGTAATTTCCCATCCTGTAGCCTGTGTGGCTCAGGTCTATAATCCAAGTACTTAGGAGGCTGAGGCAGGAGGATTTCCAGGAGTCCAGGCCAGCCTCAGCTAAAGTAAGACCCTGTCTCAAACAAATAAACAGACAAACAAACAAAAAAATAAGCTGGGTTAGGGAGATGGTTCAGTGGGTAAAGGTGCTTGTGGCTAAGTCTGAGAGCATGAGTTTTATTCCTGGGACCTGCATGGTGGAAAGAGAGAACTAACACCTTCAAGTTGTTCTCTGACCTCCACGTGTGTACTGAGGCATACACATGGCCTCCCAGCTCCAAATAAGTGAGTAAATAAATAATTAAGTATAAAAAAAGAAAAGAAAAACTCAACAAAAGACTCTACAACAGAGCTAAGAGCCTGTGTTCGACACCTTTTTGGTTTCTCTCTCTCCTTAGGACCATACAGCCTTGCTTCTCAAGTGAGTTTTCTTTTCCTCTGACTAAATTCAAAGTATTTAGGACACTTTTAAACTTGTTGAGCAATCCCAGCCAGCTGGGGAAAGGGTGGAGGAGGGTTAATAGGTGAATTACATTGGTAATTCCCCCCAAATTAGTCACCCACACACAAAATACTCACTAAGACTTTTTGCTGTTGTTGCTGCTTGAGGTGGTGGTGCAGGCCGCATTCCCAGGACTCGGGAGGGAGAGGAAAGAGGACAAGTTTGATGCTAGTCTGGGCTGCAGGAAACCCTGTCTCAAGGAACCAAATCGGTGCTTGTCCACACCCTATTGTGGGCTCACAAGGTCCCACACCTCCCTGAGGATTTATGTGTAGTTACTGGTTGATAGGGCTGGGGGCCACGGGGTTGGCATTTTCTTCAGTAAGTACATGTTCCAATAGGTAGCCCTAATGAAATGCATTGGGTCACAAAAAAACAGATAGCACTTGGGAGGCAGAGGCATCTCTGAATATCAGTGAGTTTGAGGCCAGTCTGGTCTCTCTCCAAAGAGAGTTCTAGGCCAGCTAGGACTGTTAGACAGAGAAACCCTGTCTCAAAAAACCAAAAGTGCATAAATCATAGTTTAAAAACAAAACAAAAACAAATATACCATGAAAGTTTTCTAAAAGGTTATTTGTGGTGTTGGGATAGGGCACATGCCTAGTATGTATGAGGCCCTGGGTTCAATACACACACACACACACACACCTACACCCCCCCCCACATCTAACTAGATGGATGCTTGATATTTAAAAGACGTATCACAACTGCCCTTGACTTTGGAGTTGGGAGGCGCCAAGCAGGACATAGTCCCGTACAGCTACAATGAAGCTATAATTCCTATGTTCCTTTGTTTAGTGCTGCAACTGTCTTTTAGGCCAGAGTCTCTGTCAAGACTCATCATCATCATGAGGTTCAAAGTCCTTCCTAGAGATCAAGTAATTATGATGAACAGATGCTTGTCCACAGACTAGAGGGCTGAAGTGGCACAAGGAGGGCCAGGGGACATGGAGAAACAGAAGAGCCATGCCAACCTTTGTGACAAATCTGAAAGGGCAGGGAGGGATGGGATGACATGTGTCCCTTGTTGCCCTTCTACCTCTAGATGAGACTGGGGTAGTGTGTGCTCGCGTTACTGAGGTTTGGACCTAGGCCATTTTGCATGCTAAGCAAGAATTCTACTACTGAGCAATGCTCCCAGCCCAGAGTTCTTGTGATTGTCACACAGTAGAACTCAGGAAATCTGTGGGTGTTATTTGTCATTACTATAGTGAGATAGCTGAGGCTGGGTACCTTTTTTTTTTTTTTTTTTTTTTTTTTTGTTTTTTAGAGCCTATCCTGGCACTCGAGATGGAGACCAGGCTGGCCTTGAACTCACAGAGATCCTCCTGCCTCTGCCTCCTGAGTGCTGGGATTAAAGGCGTGTGCCACCAACGCCCGGCAAGGCTGGGTAACTTTATAGAGAGAAGAAAGCTTGTTCTTATAGCCTAAGAGTTAGGGGTAGCATCTGGGATTGGCCTTCTTGCTGGCAAAGTCTCATGGTACCACAAGGTGTCACATGACACAAGGCATCACACAACATGGGACAGGAAGCCTGTAGGTGTACATACATGTATCTTTTCTGGTCTCTCTTCTTCTTATAAAACCACCAGGATTCAATCATGGGTACTCTATGCTAATATTCTTATCTGATCCCCTAAAACTCCGAAAGGTGCCATTTAAAAGCCTTCGTCTGATCAAGTGATCTTCCTGTTGTTTCGGGTTTTGAGTCACACATAGTTTCATGTAGTTCAGGATGTCTTCCAACTCAATATGCAACAAAGGCTGGTCTTGAACTCATGATCTTCCTACCTCCACCTTCTAAATAAATGCTGGGATTATAGGCATGTACCGTCGTGTCCAGAAGTTTCCACTCTCTTATTATTTCACAGTGGGGACTGAGGTTTAACTGAGCTGTGGAGTGGGGAGGGACAGGTGCTATGGAGACCATGGTAGTGCACATTGTTGAATGATTATTATAAAATGGAAAATGAACCTTGGAGAGCCAAATTTCATGAACAACCAAGGAAGGCAGAGTTAAACATTTAGTGTAGCTGTACACAAAGTTCTAGTGACTGGGGTTGGAGAGACCATTCAGCAGCTCACAGTGCCTGCTGCTCTCCCGAAGGACTGGAGTTCAGTTCCCAGCATTCAATACTCAATCACTTGTAACTCCAGCTTCCGGGGATCTGACCCCCCTCTCCTGGTCTTTGAGGGCACCTGCGCTCACATGAGCATACCCACCCATACACAGACACACATGCATGCACATAATTAAAGATAATAAACTCTTAAAAATTCCAATGTATTAGCTGGAGAGATGGCTCAGCAGTTAAGAGCACTGCCTGTTCTTCCAAAGGTCCTGAGTTCAATTCCCAGCAAGCACATGGTAGCTCACAACCATCTGTAATGAGATCTGGTGCCCTCTTCTGGCATACAGGCAGAACACTGTATAAATAATGAATAAATCATTTTTAAAATTCCAATGTATATAATATGCATTTACATAAGTGAATTCATGTGTATATATGTTACTCATCTACATAATTTTTTACTCATTATTACATGAATAAAATAATTTTAATAGGATGGCTTGTCTCACCTAATTTTTAGTTATTTATTCATGGTAGGGTCTCACTCTTTAGCCCAAATTAACCTAAAACTTGTAGCACAGACTGGCCTCCAACTCACAGTAATCCTCCTGCCTCAGCTTCCTAGTTTGCCTCCTTAGGGGAGGCAGGTATTTGAATTCTGTCTATGCTGACGAGGCTGCTCTTTGGTTAGTGAGAAATGGCTCTCTCTGCCTTTTGAATTGATCATAAACACATGGGATGGGAGGAGGAGGAAGTGTGGTCCTTATTTGTTGGGTGAGCACGGTATCCCACAGCAGTAGACACTCCGTAACACGGCCGGAAAGTCTCACCTGCAAGCATTGCTATGCCGTGAGGCAACTCAGACTCATTGTTTCTCTGCTTCCTGGAGAAAGGAGCCGATGCAGCTGTGCTCTGGTTCCATTCCATGCTTCCTGACCCCGGCCCCCCTCTCATTTCTGTCCTCTCCCTCCCCATTCTCTATCCCACACTAGAGGAGTCTTCTGCTTTTCCAAAGAGTCAGCCTCCGTGGCTACACCCTTCCCAGCCAGTCACAGCTGGTTGTAGCATTCACCCCGATTCTTGAGTGGACTCCGACTTGTTGTGGACCGAGCAAACCCTCAGGGGAGAAAAGAAAGCTAAGGAGAGGAAGGAAGCAGGCATGCTGGTGCCGGCCTGTAACCCTAGCACTCAGGAGGAGCCAGCAGAGGTCAAGGCCATCCTTAGCTACAAAGCTAGTTTGAGTCTAGCCTGATCTACATGAGACCCTGCCTCAAGAAACAATAAAACAAAACAGAAAGGAAGAAAGAAAAACTAATGAGAGAGAGAGACAGAGGGAGAGAGAGAGAGAGAGAAAGAACACCATACAAGTAACTCATAGAGGAAGTGTCATAGTAACTCATAGGATTTTTAATTATTAAGACATTCAGGATCATAGATAGCCAAATCTAGCCTGTTGAATTTCAGTGTCTTTCTGACACAGGCTTTCGAATGTGAAAATTCCTATCTCTTTTGTAGTTTGTCTTCCTGTTGTTCAGAATATTTAGAAGTCATGAGTTTGGGTAATGAGGGTATGGGACAGAAAAAAAAAAAAAAAGCCTTTTCCCTGAGGAATTAAGGACTGAGAAGAAGTCAGCTGTGGTCCATGTAGCCAGTTTCCGGTTCTAATGGGTGAGCAGGTTCTGGGCTTTGTGGGTCATCCCTCAGCTGGGAGCTTCTAGTCTTTCCAGTATTTGGGAGTTTGAGCTATGAGGATATCGAGCTGGAGGCCAGCCTGGGCTTTATAGGAAGATCTTTCTCAAAAGACAGACAATAAGCCGATAACTCCAAACTGGTCATGGAAACTCAAGCCTGTAATCTTAGCACTTAAGAGGCCGACGCAGGAGGACCGTCATAAGTTTGAAGCCAACTTGGGCACATATCAAGTGCCAGGCTCATCAGGGATGATACAAAGAGAGGCTGTGTCTCAGATAACAAGACTAATAAAAACAGCAACAAAAAACCCAAATTAAAAACAATAAAACCCCCAAAGCCAAACAATAACAACAAAAAAAATCAAAAGAGATTAATGAGAGTTAAAAGGGAAATATGAGACTCATTCCCTCTCTTCATTGGCGCTTAGAAAAGTTGGCTTTTGAAGGTGTGGGAGTGTGGATGTATAGGGGTGGGTAGGTTGGAGGATGGGACCAATGAGTTTAATCAGAGTTACATACAGAAGCATGGTTACTGACCAGTGGCTAAATCTCTCCATCTGCAGCAACGTTAACTACCTGTAGACTCCCAGAGAGGAGTGAGGTCCGAATCCCTCTCCTCGGTTAGTTTATAAGGGAGACCGACTAAACACAGTCCCATTTCCATCCTGTGTCTCAGAGGCTTGCCTGGTCCCTAATTGTGCTTCTTTTTTTGATCATAGGACCAACCAAAATGTCTGCCCCTAGAGGTTGCCGCTCAGACCTGGATCCCAGGTACTACAGACTTTGTGACCTGGCTGAAGGCTGGGGCATCGCCCTGGAAACACTCGCCGCAGTGGGGGCTGTGGCCACAGTGGCCTTCATGTTTGCACTCCTGGTCCTCATCAGCAAAGTGCAGGACTCGAACAGGCGAAAGGTGCTCCCCACCCAGTTCCTCTTCCTCCTGGGAGTGCTAGGGATCTTTGGCCTCACCTTCGCCTTCATCATCAAGCTGGATGGGGACACAGGACCCACACGCTTCTTCCTCTTCGGAGTCCTCTTCGCCGTCTGCTTCTCTTGCCTCCTGGCCCACGCTTTCGACTTGATCAAGCTGGTCCGAGGGAGGAAGCCCCTGTCGTGGCTTGTGATCCTAAGCCTGGCAGTGGGCTTCAGCCTAGTCCAGGACGTCATTGCCGTTGAGTACCTGGTCCTCACCATGAACAGGACCAACGTCGACGTCTTTTCCGAGCTGCCCGCCCCCCGGCGCAATGAGGACTTCGTCATGCTGCTCATCTACGTGCTCCTCTTGATGGCACTGACCTTCCTCGCATCCCTCTTCGTTTTCTGTGGGTCCTTCCCTGGCTGGAAGAGACACGGGGCCCACATATGCTTCACCTCATTCCTCTCCATTGCCATCTGGGTGGCCTGGATCGTCCTGCTCCTGATTCCCGACATCGGCCCTGAGTGGGATGACACGATTCTCTGCACAGCCTTGGTTGCCAACGGCTGGGCTTTCCTGGCATTCTACGTCTTCCCCGAGTTTCTGCTGCTCCCGAAGCAACGAAGCCCCACAGATTACCCCGTTGAAGATGCTTTCTGTAAACCCCAGCTCATGAAGCAGAGCTACGGTGTAGAGAACAGGGCCTACTCCCAAGAGGAAATCACCCAAGGTACGGTCCAGGAGGCCTTGGTATAAAGAAGCGGACGGAAGTTGGACGGGTAGTTCAGGCTCATGTGTGCATGCCCGCGCGCGCACACACACACACACACACACACACACACACACGCACGCACGCACGCACGCACGCACGCACACAGAGGCACATACATCTCTAATCTCAGCGCTTTGGGGATGGAGGCAGGAAGATCATGACTTTAAGATGGGTCGTGTAGAAAGTGTGTCTCAGAATACACAAACCTTGTGGGCGGGGCATGTAGGTGGGGGGGAATGTCAGAGAGACCCTCCAGGACCACTTAAAGTGGGTACTGTGGCACACACTTGTAAGCCCAGCACTTGGGAGGAAGAGTCACGAAGATCAAGTTCAAGGTCCTTTTTGGCAACATGTGGATTTCCAGACCAGCCTGGGGTACATGAGGTGGTCTCAAGAACACAAAAACAAGCTGTTCCGGGGTAGCACATGCCTTTAATGCCAGCACTTGGGAGGCAGAGGCAGGTGGATCTCTGTGAGTTCAAGGACACACTGGTCTACATAGTGAGTTCCAGGACAGCCATAGCTACCAGAGCAACCCTGTCTCAAAAAATGAAAACAAACAAAACAACAACAAAGTACCCAAACCCAAAACAAACAACAAAAAACTCCAAGAAAAATAAAACTAACAAACCAACTACAAAAAACGTTCCCAACTATAAACCGGTAGTTCTCTAGAAATCATATCAGCAATTTCATTCACAGCATAAGGACATTTCAGAAAACAAGCAAACAAATAGGCAAGTAGTAAACAAAACGGAAACTGGCTGGAGAGATGGCTCATGTTTAGGAGCACTTGCTGCTTTCGTAGGGGACCGGTTTTCCAGCATCTACACCGGTGTTCACAATCACTGGCAACCCCAACTCCAGGAATCTTGTACCCTCTTCTAGACTTCATGAGTACCAGACACACATGCAGAGTACTTACATACAGGCAAAACACTTATACACATAGAAATAGATCTTAAAATAAATCCAAACACCCCCTGAAACAAAACCCCCAAACTGTAAGGGACTCACTGGCTATTTACAGATTCTGGTCTTGAGTAAGCTAACATCTGTATCAGTAAACCAGCATCTGTATTAGTAAACCAATGTCTGTATTAGTCACTTTTCTGTTGCTTTGACAAAGTACTAAGACCCATTTTGGCTGCTGACTCCAGAGGGGCGAGAGTCCATCATGGCAAGGAAGCTTTGTGTATAAGTGTATGAAAGACATTCCTATATTGAGGCTAGGTCTTGCTATGTAGTCCTGGCTGTCTTCTGTCTTTTTTTTTTTTTTTTAAAGGTTTATTTGTTTGTTATGTATACAGTGTTCTGTCTGAATGTATCCCTGCAGGCCAGAAGAGGGCACCAGATTTCATTACAAATGATTGTGAATCACCATGTGGGTGCTGGGAATTGAACTCAGGTCCTCTGGAAGAGCAAACAGTGCTCTTAACCTCTGAGCCATCTCTCCAGCCCCCACCTCTGTCTTTGGAGTGCTAAGACTGTGGGCGTGTGCCTGGCTTGACGTCCTTTCTCGGATGTCTTTCTAGTCACTATTACTGCTCACATTTGTCTCCACATCCTGTTTTGTCAGGTCTGCCTAAGTAGAGAGGCCTTCCACAACGGAAGCCCTGGTCTCTATGGCTGGTTAGGGTGCAGCTGCTTGTCTTCTTCCTGCTTCAGACTTCAGAATTCCCCAGCCTGTCTTAGAAATGGCTCCACCATGTGTGCACCTGTAGAGCCTAGGTATTCTTGTTAGCGAGTTTGCCTCATTCAGCTTGATTTGTTTTTCTTACAGGGTAGGGCACACCTTATGTTCATACTATCTTTGCTTGTTTATTTTTAGTCTCAAAATTTTAATACTGCTTATTTATTTACTCGTGTGTGTGTGTGTGTGTGTGTGTGTGTGTGTGTGTGTGTGTGTGTGTGTGTGTGTGTTACAACACACATGTATGTGGAGTTTGGATGACAAGTTTCAGGAATTTTTCTACCATGTGGGTCTTGAGATGGAACTTGAGTCATCAGGCCTACCTTGACAGTACTTTTGTTTTTTTGAGACAAGGTCTCATGGAACCCAGGTTGGGCTGGAACTCACTGTGTAGTTGAAAATGACCTTGAACTCCTGATCTTCTTGTCTTCACCCCTCAGGTTGTGGGATTACAGATGTGCACCACCCTGGCCAGGTTCTCACACTATCTTAAATGAAGAAGTATTTAGTAAGGGGGCAGGGGCAGGGGCAGGGGCAGGGGCAGGTAAATACGTCAGGAAATGAAAGAGTTGCTTTAAAGCCAGCTCAAGTTCAAATATCCTATGATTGTCCCCAAATACACACAATACAGTCACTCATAAACTCTTCCCAGGTTAGGAAATAAATAAGTCCCCATGGCTCCAGGATGTGAGTGTCTGGTTTGGGGCTGGAAGGCATGTTCTTTCCCTGCAAGACATTTGAACTGCTGAGGCCCCAAGGGACCAACTGTCACAGACACCGCAACAAGTGACACAGTGAGGAAAGCACAGGTGTGGCCAGGTGCCTCAGTTTCTCCCTCTGTTTCAGGTCTTGAGACAAGGGACACACTCTATGCTCCTTATTCGACTCATTTCCAGCTGCAGGTAAGTGATCTTTGTCATTCCCCACTCCCCCCTCCCAGGGACAGTGGTCCTTTGGGAATAGATATTGCCACCATTTTGGTGGCTCCCGAGTGGCCATCCTGAAGGGATGGACGCCTGCTTTTCCACACTGTGCCTCTTGGGGTTGGAATGGCACACAGACAGGCCCAGGGAGGACCTGCAGAGACCTTTAGAGAAGGGTACTGAAGGTTCACTGAGATGGCCATGGAAGTTTTAACCACACAATCGTTTTCTTTACAGAACCGAAGTCCTCCAAAGGATTTCTCCATCCCGAGGGCCCAGGCCCCGGCCAGTCCATACAATGACTACGAGGGACGGAAAGGGGACAGCTAACTGTTGAGAAGAACGGGACAACCAGAGCCAGGCAGCAGGTCCAGTCAGGAGCTCTGCAGATGTGAACTGAATCCCGAGCATCTTAGGGGAACTGTACATGAGAGCTTGCTCCCTGCCCAGCACACTGCTGTCCTTCTGTCTGGGGCTGCTGCTCCTAACAGACTGCTTCTTCGCAGTGTTCCAGTGTTTTCCTTTGTCCCATTCTTAGGATACTTCTTGGAGGTGGGAGTCTTGGGCAACTCAGGATGAGACTCTTACCTCTCCCATGAATGGGAGCGAACATCTGCTCATCTAACTCCTCACTGACTTGTTGGGCTTCGGAAGCCAATTCATTTAACTCGGTGGGTTTCATGAGGATCACTTGGCACAGAGCAGAACTGCAATTTGCACAATCTCAGAAAGGCGTGGGGTCTCCACCCTGTCCTTATCAGTCTACACTGGAAGCTAACCTGGCCCTGCCCTTCCAGGTCTTCCTGCCCGGGTAGAAGAGGCTAAAGGTTACCAAGTGTCTATTCTCAGTACACTGCCCCACAATGGCCTGAGCAGTATGGACACTGATTTACAAGGGCGTATCACCTTCAAACTTGCTGCCAGCCCCAGACCTCTGTGTACTTTGCCAGGAGCTCTTCTGGACATTACTGGAGTGGGCAAGGGCTGATTCTCCCTGCCAGGAGAATTTGGGCTTTGTCATTGCCATAAATTCCTGACACGCACTCCTTAGTCCCTTCCTGCTCCCCAGCTCAGTAACAGATCTATCCTGAGTTCACCTCAAACTCTGTAAGTGGGCAGTGTTTATTCTTGGGGTGGGATGCATTTGTTGTGTGATAAGGTATTCACCTGGGTATGCAATAAAGATGTGATAGCAACCACTTTTAAAATTTAAATTTATTTATTTTCTTAAAAATATTAAGGGGCTGGAGAGATGGCTCAGAGGTTAAGAGCACTGACTGCTCTTCCAGAGGTTCTGAGTTCAATTCCCAGCAACCACATGGTGGCTCACAACCATCCCTTATGAGATCTGGTGTCCTCTTCTGGTGTGCAGATATGCATGGAAGCAGAATGTTGTATACATAATAAATGAATAAAAATTAAAAAAATTAATACCCTGTCTCAAAAAACCAAAAAAATTAATATATTTTAAAGATGTTTATTCTGGGTGTGGGTATGCACAGGCCATGGGGAGGTCAGGGAGGTCTACATACCCTGTATGTAGGGTATGTAGGGGCAGAGGATTAGGAATCTATTACGGAGGAACTGGGATCCTCACACTTAGCCACATACATGAAAGCAATATGCAAACATTAGCTTAATTAGGAACTTGCCCCTTAAGAGTCTTCTCATGGGCCTGGGCATGGTGGCACACACTTTAATCCCAGCACTCAGGAGGCAGAGGCCGGTGGATCTCTGTGAGTTCGAAGCCAGCCTGGTCTCCAGAGTGAGACTGGGTCAGAGTCTTGTCAGGGGGCCTCACACTTGTAATCCCAGCGTGTGGGATGTTAAAGCAGGAGGATGGCTGTGATTTTTGAGGTCAGCCTGGTCTACAGAGCGAACTCACAGAGATCCAAGTGCCTCTGCTTCCCGAGTGCTGGGATTAAAGTCGTGTGCCACCACCACCCGGCCTAACTGCTGTGATTTTAAGACCAACCAGTCTGGGCCACCCAGCGAGGATTTTACGGAAGAGGACTGCAGTCTCCTCCTCCTCCTGGAGGAAAGTAGAATGTAAAGATTTAGTTCAGGCTAACCTTGAGCATCGTCAGCTGATGTCAGGAGGCAAAGTGCCATCTCTGTAACATGAAGAAATAAAAGACTCAGAGACAGATACTGGGGTTCACACGGAAGATCAGGGCAGCAAAGCAGCCAAGCTACCAGAGAGTTCTTACCTCTAACAGGCTGGGGCATTGCCATTCTCAACGTGGCTGGAGAATGAATGCCTGATACTGACTACTGAAGACCCTGCTTCTATCTTTTATACCCATCTAGTGCTGCGATTAAAGGCGTGTGTTCCCAGGTGCTGAGATCCTCTTGGTGTCAGCTGTTTCTCTTTAGGACCGGATCAATCTTGTGTAGATCTGGTTGGCCTTGGACTCACAGAGATCCATCTGCCTCTTAATCCTGAGTCCTAGGATTAAAGGCGTGTACCACCACCACCTCCTAGCTTCTGGCTGCTGGGATTAAAGGTGTCTGCCTGGCTTCAATGGCTTGTGGCTGACTTTGCTTTCTGAATCCTCAGACAAGCTTTAATAAATCATAAATGATATCCACCACACATCTCCTTTGAACTAAATGGGTGATGTTAAAATGGGCATCAAGACCAACAGCAGCCTTCTTCTCTCTCTCTTTTTTTTAATCTGTGAAGTAGATTTAGGCCTTTCTGTAATTACAGCTTTAGTGAACCAAAGCTGCCATGCCCTGAATTTCCACTAGATGGCAGTGAAATCTTAGTGTTCAACCCTCGGTAACCGAAAGTCAGACTCCCACAGCTAAGGCTGCTTTCTGGTGGAGGCCAGGTAGATGGTACAACAGGCTGGAGGCAAGTGTGCCTCCGAGCTGTCTCTTCCCCACCCCTACACTTTTAAAACCGCTTTCCGTTTCCCTTGCCCTTATCTTGATGAAGCTCTCCAAGGTTTCCAGCCCATTTGCCTGCAGCCTGGCGTCATTACAGGTAATGTCTCATAGACTGATCTTATTAATGTCATCTGCTATTTATGTGGTGAGAACGTTGGCGTTTGGTCAGGAGAAGTGTGCCAAAACAAAAAGTACAGGCTGGCCCTGGAAATCCAGCCCTCCCCCTCCCCCACAT